TATGATATACTCTAAAAATATTGAGTTAATAAACCTTTTTTATTATTATTTGTAGAAGTAATACACAGTGAATGGATAATACATATTATATAATTATACATATTATATAATTATATCTACTATATAATTACATAATATTATATACCTACATAATACACATATATTTATAAACTTCATAAATGCTTATATACATAAATATTCAGGTGCTTCTTTGAAATCTGATTTTGGTTTGTTTTCATCCCAAAGCCTTCAATGCAGGCAGAACCCCAGGAACAGATTTATCATCATTTATTCTTGGGTTGTGTGAGATGATTGTGAACAGAGTGAAACACAGACCCCCTTAGACAGGAGTTTCATCCCTCCCTGTCCAGCTGGAACATCATTAACTTCCAATAACCCTCTGGAATGAGTTTCATGCTCAGCTCCTAATCCACCCTCCCTGATAGGATAGGTTTTCCTCTCCCTAAGGATTTTGTCTATCGTCAGATCGTAATTTCCAGACTGACACCGGTTTAAATTATCACCTCTTTTCAGATGCAATCGGTGATATATTTACCGCTCAGTGTCTCACTTATCTTTTTACAGCAACCCAAAACAGTGTCACTTTGTGCTTTGCAGGCAATGTCCAGATGCAGGTAGAAATCATCATCTGCAGTGTACCAAAACTGCTTAATATTTAATATTTAAAGCACTCTGGATAGACTAGAATAGAACAGACTTTATTATATTGTGTAGGATTAGCTTTTGGCAGCTATTTATGGTAACTTAATTATCATAAATTGATAATTTATGATATATAGGCTGTGAATTATATAATGTACCATATGACACTGGTGAACACTTTCTTACACTCATAATATTTAATCACAATGCATTTTTTAGGTATTATTTGATATGATCAAAAGATTATTTTTACATAGGACAATATTTATTTTTGTTAGCTATTCAGCAATTTGATACTTTGTAACACATATATATATATCTTGCAACATGCATATAGCATGAATATAAAGTATATATAACTTGTAACATGTATATACCTCGTAATCAATGATTCCGTGACAATGACAAGACCAGCCAAGTTGGGCCTCCACTGCTGAGGGTGTTGTGTAAAAAGTCCATTATACCACAAACCCTGTTGAGGGGAGGCTTTAGGCAGAAGGAAGGTGAAACAGGCCCGGTGGAGACATATTAGTATGGGGAGAGCTGGCATGTCAGATCACATAGGAAGGGGAGCGTCATGGGGCCAGAAAACTTCAGATGAGTCACGGTGCCTAAGATGCCTCCAACCTTGCTGTGAGAGCTGAGTCTGAAAGGCAAAGATGTGGCAGCTGCAAGAGAGGAGCAAGAGGGCTTAGGAGGAAGTGTGGAGAAGGAGGAAGGAAAACAACATCTACACATAATCAGGAATTATGCTGGAATACGCGATTCTTTTATTCACGAACATTTTTTTTTAAGATTGAACTTCCTCATTGAAAATCACATTACACCCTCCTCCACCCCAATTTTTCTCAGCTTATAACAGTGAGGGCTGTCTCATAAAGCCATGATACAGCATGTATGGCCCATCTCACGGAAAACATATTTCCTTCCTGGTTAACATCAAAATTCTCGTGATTTTCAAATTAGATTATCTAGGTCTAGCATGCACATAGCAAAGTCAAAAGGTGCAAAATTACTGCTGTGAACTGAGTTATAGCTGCATAAAAGTGAGCTGGAGCTGTGAAGCTGTTCTTTGTCACCTTCTTCCTGAGGGTGACAAGAGTCCTGGAACAGGCTGCCTGGAGAGGCTGTGGAGTCTCCTCTGGAGATCTTCTAAACCCGCCTGGATGCCACCCTGTGCCACGTGCTCTGGATGTCCCTGCTGGAGCAGAAGGTTGGACTGGATGATCTCTAGAGGTCCCTTCCAACCTCAACCACTCTGTGATTCTGTGATTCTTTACAAAGAAGGAATCTGCTTCCATGGTGCAAATACCTCTGTAGTCCAGCATAGCAGCACCCACAACCAAAGACTTCATTCTTGCCCCATTCTTGACCAAAGAAGTCAGACAAGACTGGGGAAAAAAGAAGTGGATGCGCTAAGCTAGATTTGATGTGATGCTGTTTCTCACTAGAGCTCAGGAGGAACAAGTAACAAGAGCCAATTTCCGTGCTCACAGTTTCCACATTCAGGCTCCCCATCAGTATCCCTGATTTATCTCCTCATCTCTACATTTTCTGGTAGTTTTATGCTCCTCGCACACAAGCATGATCCACTCAGTACATCAGCTTCCCCATGTCCCTTGGTTGCAAGGACATGAGGAAGCCTTATTGCTTATGAGCTTCCATTAGCTCAGGCTTTCCACATGCCAGTTGTGCCGCTGGAGGCCCGTACATTTTTGGCGCTCATTTTCCACACGTTCCCTGCAGACACTT